CTGCAAATGATATTTCGGAAGAATCGGAGCAATTAAGACTAAGGTAGAAATTAATATTTGTGGGTAGCTTTATAGCGTAGGATAGAGGAATCCTAGTTATTTTTATTTTCTTTTTAATTAATCAAGCGTACGAGAGATAACANAAAAAAAAAAAAAAAAAAAAAAAAAAAAAAAAAAAAAAAAAAAAAAAAAAAAAATCTATGATATATAGAAGATGAGAATTTCCACTATATATTGGCAAAAATAAATAAAGAAATAATATTTTTTGTTCTTTCTACGTCTCCGTTAAATGTTTACTCCTTTTATTGATAATTTAATCAGGGGCTCAAGGGGAAGGCTAGTAAAGCTTTCACTTTAGGCCCCCTAAATTTTTGGGGCCCCAAAAAAAATTTTAGTTGTAGATTTACTATCTTATTTTCGCTTAGACGGTATTGAAGTTTATAGAAAAAAAAATACAAAATCCTTATAAAAATGGAAAGAAAGACTATCTATTTTTTAATAATAGAAATATTTTATAACTTTGAATTAAGATACTAATCTTCATATTGATAAATAATATTTTTTTACAACAAGATCCAAGGTAACGAATTGTAAATACGTGGCTAACATCTTATTAACTTGAATTTTTTTACCAATGTGAATATTAATATTATATTTTATAAAATAACTACACTATAGACAAAAACAAAAGAAAGAAAAAAAGAAACCAATGTAATATTAACACTATATTTTACAAGATAACTATACTATAGAAAAAAAAAATTAAGATACCTTATTAAAATTTGGCTTTAGGCCACGAGTTTTATTGAGACGCCTTTGAATTTAATATACACCCATCTTTTTCATGATAAAATGAAAAAATGCAACGAATAAACTCTTTTTTTTCTCCACTAATGAATATTATACTAATATTTATAAATTTCTCAATACAAATACATGATTTGAACCTGTAACAATATTACATCTTCGCCCTCATATTTTTATGACTATACATGCATGCACATAATGATCAATTGACCGTCATCCACTTACATGTTCATGCACTCTATAAATATCTATGTACACCACAACACCAAAGTTTTACTAATACTTTATAGAAACTAAACATTACCAATACGTTAAAGAAACTAAACAAAAACCCTTGATATTATTAATTAATCTGCACATGATATTCCGGAATAGTCGGAGCAATTAAGACTAAGGTTGAAATCAATTTTTGTGGGTAGCTTCCTTGGCGTAGGATAAAGGGAATCCTAGTTGTTTTTATTTTCTTTTTTAATTAATCAAGTGCACATGAGATAGCACTTCAAAAAAAAAATGATATATACAAAAATGCAATGAATGAACCAACGCTATTTTTCTTTACTAAAGAACATTATATATTAATTCACTATATGTCTAACTCTCAATTTGTTAATTTTGTAATATTAAAATTTCCTCTAAATTAAACTGAGTTTCATCTTTCAAAATTCAAGTGTCATTTTAACGATCTAAAAGACTATGATCAATTTATTATATATTTTTCTGTATTATATTTATTAGATATACAAGTAAAAGTACTATACAAGATACCAGTGGCGAAGCCAAGAACTTCCTCAAAAAATTTCGACAAAGAGTGTTCAATATATATTTTGTACCTCTAAAACATAATATTTTACCTATATACACAACGTAATTTTTCAATAAAGAATGGTCATTGACCCACCCTAAGCAAAGTGCGGTTTCGCACCTGCAAAGTACTTTCTTTACATGAATGAAAATGAAAAGAGAGGATTATTTCTTAAAACTTCCTCTAAATTAAATTAAGTTTCGTCTTTCAAAATCAAGTGTCATTTTTGTTGGAATCGAAATAACATGGTGCATGCGGAAACTAACAATACAAAGCTTGGTGGACGATAAATCAGACGACAAAAGAAAAATATACTAAACTAAGCATAAAGTTTATAATGGTTTGGTCAATTGATCCACATATGATAAAACTAATATAAAAGAAGAACAACCAACGAGAGATAATCTCCCCCTAAACAAAACTCTTTAATGACTACATTGTGGATATTTTTTTTTTGTGCTCTTGTCAGAAGTAGATCCTTAATTTATAGATGTGCAAAACTTGTCTTCCAAGAAAAGGATAAGACATATTAAGGAGATTTAATCCTTTTAGGAGTCTTTTTCCATTCCTTCAAGAAAAAAAGTCCTAATAGATTAGGAATTCAGGGCAAATCCTAACAATGTCCCCTTGGCCTGAATTTTCTTGACAAAGTTGATTCACCTTCTTCACATAATCTTCATCGTTGCTGCTTGCCATGATTAAACATCGGTATAGGTTGAAAATCTTGGTATTGGTTAAAAGAAGCCCAAGTATGGGTTAAAAGGAGCCCACGTGTTAAGAATAAACATGGGGTAAAAGAAGCTCATGCATTAAAAATAAGCGTGAGTTAAAATTGGCACTAGAACTCATGCATTGCAAGTAGGCATGATTTAAAACTGACATTGGTTAAAAGCGGCCAAAATATGGGTTAGAAAGATTTTTATTCTAATAAAGATGCAGCAGCATGCGTTTTGAATACAATTGTGGTTGTAAATTTATCGCCATATGTAGCACGTTGAATAAATCTTCATTATCGTCTTGATCTAAACACGCATTGAATTTGTCTTCAACCTCGTTCAACCGTACTCTGAACCATTGGCTCTGATACCACTTGTTGAGATCGAAATAACATGGTGCATGCGGAAACTAACAATACAAAGCTTGGTGGACGATAAATCAGACGACAAAAGAAAAATATACTAAACTAAACATAAAGTTTATAATGGTTTGGTCAATTGAACCACATATGATAAAACTAATATAAAAGAAGAAAAACTAACGAGAAATAATCTCCCCATAAACAAAACTCTTTAATGACTACATTGTGGATATTTATTTTTTTGTGCTCTTGTGAGAAGTAGAGATCCTTAATTTATAGATGTGCAAAACTTGTCTTCCAAGAAAAGGATAAGACATATTAAGGAGATTTAATCCTTTTAGAAGTTTTTTTTCATTCAAGAAAGAGAGTCCCAATAGATTAGAAATTCAGGGCAAATCCTAACAATTTTAACCATCTAAAAGACTACTATTAATTTATTATATCTTATTCTGTACTATATTTATTCGATATACAAGTTAAAGTACTATACAAGATACTTTCTTTACATGAAAATAAAAAGAGAGGATAATTTCTTAAAACAATACAAGAAGTAAATATTGAAGAAACAGCGCAACCCATGCAAAAATCTATTCTGCTGACGATGGCCACACGTGAACCCTATTTACTCTTTGACCAACACCCCATTCTTTGACTTACACGTGTCGTCCCCTCTCACACGTGCGGATCATTCATAAAAATCTATACTTATCTCTTCTTTACTCTTTTTACTTCCCACCCACCCCCTTAACCTTCCAAACAAAAAACATAATATATTGTATATTATATATAGAGTTTCTCACACTGTGTTCGATACTCGTATTGAGACTCGACAATATTCAGATTACGGAAAAAAGTTCCCACATTAGAACGCTTTCTAACAATTACAACTCCATCCTTAGGGCTCAAATTCGAGACCTCTAGTTCAGGGTCGGAGGTAGGGTATTATTTACAGGTTCGGCTGAAAGCTTTTGCATAAACCCTGTCTTCGTTAGATAATCTATTAAATATGTATTAATGAGTAATTACAAACCCAGCAACTAGACATGTTATGGGTTCGACGTCAAGTTCAGAACCCACAAACTTTAAATCTTAGATCCGCTTCTACTCTAATTAAGGATGAAATAATACTTATTATTCCATCACATTCGGTAAAAAAAACAAAATACATAAAAGCCTTTTGTGGGTGTTGCTGATGTTGTCATTGCGTAACACATCTTTGACTTTGTGTTTGCTGCTGTTCTTATTGTTGTTGCTGAATTTGAGGTCAATGTTTCATTAAATTAAATTAATACTTAATTAACATTACCTCAATCCCAATACTAATCACGTAAATAAACAAATAAAATTATTAAACAAATGTTAATTTTCCCAACTCTTGCGGCAACAAAATAGCAGTTTTTAATGTTAGGACTACTTGTTCAAATGTTTTGGTCTACCATGTGACTTCTGCTCTTTTAGGGTCTGCAGATTATGTCGTACACATGGCACTTGTTTGGTTGTCAAATTAATAATCATTTTCTCATTATCTTTTCTTTGGTTTATATTTGATTAGACTTTTACTTGCTCAAAATTAATAAAATCCAACTTCAAAAATACCAAATCTTTTTTTATTTATTTAAAAAGAATGCTTGGAATTTCTTCCCCCTTTAAGGATAACATATCTTGCACGCAAAATATTCAAATCCTTTAAATATATACTTTCTAAATCCCTTTATCCAACAATGATGTTGACAAAAAGACTTCTTAGATTGCAACCAACAAATTTCCTCATGTTAGAGCCGGACCTAGAATTTAAAGGGCGCATGTGCACTTTTGCGTTCAACCAAATTCTACTTTGTACATAGGGTATCATTACTAATATATCACTATTTTAAAAATATATATATATATATATATATATATATATATATATATATATATATGAAACTTTTGCCGAACTTTCACAGTACCGATAACCCTCACTTTACAACATAGGTCCACCTCTACCTCAGGCCCTCCATATAATTTAGGTTTAATGTTGTATTCCTAGAACAGGCTCTGCACTTATCCTGAAGACAATTTTTGTCACTCTTTTTGTAATCAAGAAACTACAATATTACATTTGTTGTAGATGGTGTATGCATTATAGAGACGGATCAAGAATTTTAAGCCAATATTGATTTAGTATAAATATATACGTTTTTTCAAAATTTTCAACTATATAGAGTTCGAGTAGAAGACAGTGGATGTGCCTATGCTCGCTGCCAGAATTAGGATCACCCATAAAAAGAAAAAGGAAGCCCAGTGCATGAAGCATGCCGCATTAACACAGGGTCCGAGTAAGGGCCGCACCCCAAGGCTTATGATATAAGCAGCCTAAGCAAACTAAGTTTACAGTTTCTCAAGTTTTTAACTGTATGCAATAGATAGAAAAAAGAACAGATTTTTCCTTGTACAAAGTAAACAAAAAACTAGAAGTAGCATTACTTAGCCTTCTTAGAAGGCTTTCCATTAACAAATTCTAAAATTAGCAGACAAAGCCTACAAAAAGCAAGTCCATCTTGTTCTTTGTAGGTATTGTCTGAACAAAACTCAGAAACAATTCCAAGAAACCTAGAAAGTAAACATACTGTCCTTGAGAAAAAGGGCGTTCGAACTTAAAAGTTTGCTCCGCAAACTTCCACTCTTGAACTTGGTAAATATCTTCTTTAGCATGTCCGAAATCGTTAAAATGTTAGGAACAGAGGACTCGATCATCCAGCTGTACAGCTCGAAAGGAAAGTGGAGATTTCCTTATTATCTCTACTCCCTGAGTCCAACATTATCGCTGCTTGAATCAGTTAGAATTGTTAACCTTCGTGCTGTTCTGATGAAGTCGCTGCAAATTAAAGGAAGAAAAGACACATTAAGAAGGTTTTGTCATGACAAATATTACATTAAATTTTGGATAAAGTGGATATAGAGTAGAGTATCTCGTACTTATGGGAAAGTTAAAGACGCACCTATATGGTTCGTCACCAAGTTGCTTGACCGTGCCAGTGATATCTCGGTAAAGCACATGACTAAGAATCTCTGAGTTTTCAATGCCAAACATATTTGCCAATTTCCTGCATAACTCCTCATAAGATCCTATCGATGAAAGATCCAGAGTGCGACCTACATCTTCTGATTCCATAAAAACCTTGCAGTGTCCAATCTCAGTATTTGGTTCGGACTGAAATGTGTCACGTGGTGAGCTTTCCGTTAGACCACGTTGATTAAGAGCAGAACCTGAGCCATCAGAAACATTACCTATTTTATCTGCATTCCCGTCCGAGGAACTATTCCCTGTACGAACAGTAGAAACAGTATCTCCCGAGCAGCTAAGAGAGATCTGCTGCTCAGTAAGTATAGGTTGACCGAAAAGCACGAGTTGTGGTGCTTTCCCAATATCAGATTTCTTCGTAGTGTCCTGAGTAGAATTTCCCATGGTTAGCAAGCAAGAAATATTCTCGCTGTTGCATGGCTTGCGAATCATTGGACTATTCGGGGGTCTAGGGTGTGCTGCAGCCTGATCAAGTGGCGGAAAACCAACAGGAAACAAACTAGAATGCAACTTATTGAGGTGGATATCTGATAATGATAAACCATATTGAGCATGCCTGGCTCCCTGCATGCCAGCAGGGGTGTTGTCGGGAAGACAACCAAAGGGGCTACTAGGCCCTAGGAGGTGGTTGCCGGAGAAAGCCGGCATAGGAAGGTGGTGGCCATCAAGAGGAAAATCTGGATGTTGAGGTAATCTTAGTTTTTTCCGTGGGGGTGAGAAGGGAGAAAGATGAATGGTAGGCATGTTCGAGACTAACTCCACAAGCCATGGGCTGACACGTTTCACATTTTGAAGCAGATCAGGTTCGTCCCACGTCACCTGCAGTAATTTATCTCAACTTAAGAGAGGAACATATTAAATTAAGTAACAGTACATTAATTGTCGGCTTCCATCCCCTTCTTTGGCAAGCAAGTAATAATTCAACCCCCTGTTTGGGAAATATAAGCTACCATTTTAAGTACAAAAGCAACCAGTTTTACCACTCCGAAAAGGAGGTAGCAGAAACATTGTGCATTACAGAGTTTATACAGATAGGGCACTCCAAGTATCGTTCACCAATATACGGGATATATCTCCAACTTCACAAGATCATATAACTTATCAGAAGCGTATTTCTCTTTTCCTATAAAAGAAATTTTGAATAAAAGACAAAATCAAATATGATTTACTCTAGAAAGAATGTTTGCAGCATAATTTAAGTGTATCTTTTCTTGAACAGATTAGAGTCCTATTACTATATTGAAGTACCCATGTGAATCACATCATATGAGAATGTGCCTATCGAACAATGGGCAGAAAATGCTGAGAAACAAGACTAAATATGCGTGCTTACAAGCAGTAAACAAAGATCATATTACCTGAAGAAGCCTCCACGGTGAATCTGGCCATCGCATAGGATCGGCAACCTGAACTGAAGATATAGTTCCCATGAACCAGCTTATCCTTGAAGAATCTTCAGTTTCGAAAGGCATCTTGAACCTCATCCCCGAGCACCAACGGATCTGCAACGCAGACTTCACAAGTGAGGCCTTAATGCAGAATTCTGGAGTGCTCGCACGAGGGTAGTAGATCACCTCAAATGGCTGTCCACTGGCTGCAAAACTTGCAGCTTCAATGACTGATTCTGCCTTCACCTTTCCCCTGTTCATCAAATTCCCACTACTGTTTCCATTCCCCCCATTTCTCATTAATTTATTCTCGTCTTCCCTGAGAAAACTGGAAAACCCTCCATACGGTACCATACAATTCCCACCAGCCGGATTCCAGCCAGAAGAAGTCTCAGGTCCACCTCCAATTCCCCTCTTTGCCCGCCTAATGCCTACACAAAGGTCTCCGTTTTCAGCTCTCAAGAACACAATGGAATCGCCAGCAACAAGCTTTTTATGGTTCACAAAAGTACTCCATCCTGTTGTTAAAAGATGGCGCCTTGGTGTACCCCTGTAAATATGTCTGAATTTCCACGTCTCCCCGTGAACATCCTTAGCAAGGATGGTCTGAACAGGAGGATCCGCAGAGTAGTCCAAACGAGGAAAGATCGTTTCTGCACAATACCTCGGAACAGAAAAACCTCCACCATTATTTGCATCAGATTGTGTCAATGTCTTTGCAAATGAAGTAGGTTTATCTTGGTTATCCGAACCGTTCATCCCAACAACCCCATCATCATCAAATTCAACTTCACTCCTACTAACAGGAATCAGCCTAATTTTGGCGAAAACCTCATCAGTCTCAGGATCTGCCATATATTTAATAGCCGAGACTTTACACGGAACATAAGATGGAATCCTAATGTTGGAGCTCCTAAAATCGACATTTCCACAGGCGTGCTCCGAGTGTCCTTGAGGAAAGTAAAACACTTTTGAACTAATTGGGGGCATTTGTACCATACTACCAGCACAAGCATGCCATAGTTGAGAATCTAAGCACTTATCTATTTCCTTCACTTTGTCCTTTGGATCCATAAAAGTAATCATCTTGATTTCAACAGAATTTTACAGATATGACAATCAATTCAAAACCAACTCCTTAACTCATAAATACTACTTATTTCCCCATTAGGATGACCACACTTGCAATGGAAAAAATGCTGTCATCAAATAAAAGAAACAAATATTCTTTAGGCATATTAATTGTATACTATACCAATTAGCAAAACAAGAATAGAAATGAAACAAAGTAAAATCACAATATAAATGCAACTCAAATAGTTTCAAAGTCCATACCTTTCTATATCTGTTCAACAAAGAAATTTATCTCCAGAGATACCAATTATAAGTACATAGTACTCTCTCTCTCTCTCTCTCTCTCTCTCTCTCTCTCTCTCTCTCTCTCTCTCTCTCTCTCTCTGCAAAAGCATCTCAAAATTCAAGTCCCAAAAAAGTCAAATTTTCTTGAAAGTTTCAGGCCTCTAAAACTCAAGAAAGGGTGTTGAACTACCACATAATTTAAAACAACTTGACTAAATTGAACCCAAAACTCCTCATTTTCTTCAATTTGACCACTTCAAAACAGGAAATTCCCTCCTAATCATCCATTAAAACACAAAAAAATCCCCTGTTCCACCAAAATTATTAAGGTCACAAGTAATCTTGACTCACTTCGAGTTCAAAATCAGCCCAAAAATCCCAACTTTTTTTCTCCAAAATCAAGAAACTCAGTAATTTTGCTCCAAAAGATCAAAAGATTCCACCTTTACACTGTTTCTCCAACACCAAGAATAAAATAACAGCACCCCACCTCACAATTCACCAGACAGAAACACAACAAGGGAAAAAAAGAAGAAGAAAACCCTAAGAATCAATCAAAAGTCATGGAAAGTGAAAAACTGGTTTACAGTGTGGCTTTCACTACAAAACTCTTTGTCATCTTTTTGTCTCAAAAAGCAAACAAATATATTCACACAAAGAGAGAGAGCTCTCTGTTTTTTGTATAGATGTATGCATGTATGTGCTACTTATGTATACTGATGTCCACACATGTATGTGTATGTGTGTGTTTGTCTCTTTCTTTCTCTTAGACTGTTTTTAACTTTCACTATTTACTCTTTTTTTCTTTTTGGCCAAATACATCTACAAACCATCCAACTTGACATTTTTTTTCATTTTTACACTCTATCTTTACCTTGTTTCATTTTGGTCCCCCAACTCTATTTTATAAGTTTCATTTTGGCCCTCCAACTCTATTTCTTATGTTCCACTTTAACACAAAAGCTAAAATCAGTGCAAAAAATATAGCGCGTGCATATACACAAATCTGAGGTGTAATAAATATCCAATTAAATGTTGCCACCTGATTTTTTCATCCATGTCAAACGAATCAATACTAAAATCCTAAACCCGACCAATTTTTTGTGGGTTTATTTCATCTAAACGGGCCAGGTAAAAAATTGGCAGATGAAAGCTTTGGAACTTAGAGAATGAAGATGGGGAAATAGTGGATGAAAAAATACGGCCTGGTTCATGTATTTTAGTATTGACCCGTTTGACATGGATGAAAAAACGGGTGAAAATATTTAATTGGATATTTATTACACCTCAGATTTGTGTATACACACGCGCTATATTTTTTGCACTGATTTCAGCTTTTGTGTTAAAGTGGAACATATGAAATAGAGTTGGAGGGCCAAAATAGAACATATAAAATAAAGTTGGAGGGCCAAAATGGAACAAGGTAGAGATAGAGTGTCAAAATAAAAAATGGTGCCAAGTTGAATGGGCTGTATATGTATTTGGCCTTTCTTTTTCTTTTTCTTTTTCTTTTTCATTTTTTTTTATATAAAATTTTTAGGGAAACCTACGGACGCTATCCAGTGGTGAAGTTAAGAATTTTGTGAAGGATATTCAAAATTAAATATGCACATAAAAAATAATTTTTTACACAATATAAATTTCTATATACACAGTATAATTCAATGAAGGGTATTCGTTTAATCACCCTTCAGTGTATGTGGCTATGTCACTGTCGCTACCCTTAGGATGGGCACTAGTAATATGCTCATTGTGTAATATTTGTAAATTGTATTAGGTAAATTCGGCGCGACGAGTTTTGACTGAGGATGATGCTTATAAATATATTTTCATGGGGTTTGGTTGGTTAAATAAAAATATATTTTTCTGACCTTTTTCTTCGGATCTGAAGAAACTCTGCTGTATCTTCAGAAGCCAGCAAAACAACAAAGATCTTTAAAAGCCAGATATTCATTTTCCTTTATGTTATCTTGTATTTTATAGCATTAGTAAAAAATAGTATGTTAGGAAGTGTCATTTTCATATTTGTTTAATTGATTAGAAAATTAATTAATTTATTCTCTTGGATTTACTTGATCATTTTGATAAGGGAACTTGGATTAATTTAATGTAATAATCGTATAGTTTGATAATATAGATGCTGGTAGAGAGTCAGTGGAAGATGGGAAGTCAATGCTTACTCTAAAAGCAAGGCAAACGCTGTGATTTATTAATTAGGCAAAGAATATTAAAATATAGTGTTAGTTTGACTAACCATGGTAGGACACAGATTTAATTTTGACTGAGGTTAACTAACTGTAATTTGACATAACCACCAATTGGTTTGGTTTATTATTAAATTAGTTGCACCTACTATATAATAATACTGCTAATTGTTTGTGTTCCTCCATTTATGTGAGATCCTAAAGGGCTCGTTTGGTATTTACCGCGGCTGATAGCACAGAGTTAGCCGGTATTTATTTCCTAGATATCGTTATTGCTTATTCTTTGGAAAAAAAAGTTTACGACCCGAGGTCTTCTACCTTCATGCAACATTGCTCCATCACGCTCTCCGCCATTGCGAAAAAATTCTCAACTACTGCCTCCCGTAAGAGTCTTGTGTTTAAATTGACAAAAGTACCTTAAAAATAGACATCCTTTTTTACAAATAAATAAAATTTTGTTTAATAAAATTAAAAGGGAGAATTTTTTTCTCCCTCTAACTTTATGTTAAAAACTCAAACATCCCATCTAACTTTGAATTTAGACATCATTTCCCTTGTATAATAATTGACTGGTGATTTTATAAATACAACTCTATTTCACCATTTAAATTATAACTCTCTGCCTTTTGTAATTTTTAAAATCTTTTAAGTATGTGTTATTTTACTTGTCTACTAACAAATTAAATTATATTTATAGAGTAAAAATGAACTGGTGACCAAATATGATAGTAATCGCTTTTAATAAGGAAAGATATTCTAATAACAAAAGAAAATTGTTCGCAATAAAAATTAATATATATGGTATTATTATGGTTCATATCAGTAATTTTCAAAATTCAACGCATAACTTTTTGTTTTATTATGTGAAGGAAATAGTAATGAAGGGGAGCCTTGGCGTTGTTAGTAAACTGTATTTGTAAAATAATTTTGGAGAAGATAAAATAACATATAAACAAAAATGTAAAAGAAACAGAATTTAATCCGAGCCCACTGAATTCACAATGTTTCCTTAAGGAACTTAATCCCTCCTAGTACCCGAGGTTGTGGATTATTTCCTCCCAGGATAGAATGAATTACACACTGGTGTAGCGGTACTTCAAACCCCAGTTTTTCAGCGAACACAATGATCGGTAGCAAATCACACTTACTGTTGCTTTCTTTGTAGTTAAAATAATGCAGAAGAAAGGAGGAGAATTCAGAATTTCGTATGAAAAATCTAAGAGAATTGATTGCTATTTATAGCCCCAACCTGTTGAGTTCAAATGAAAAGGGTCAGTTACGTGAAACGGCCATAGCGTAAATGGCCAACGCAAATTAAAACGGGAATTCAAACGAAATTACTTTTCCGTTACAAAAAAACGGACGCGCAGAGAAATTACTTTTCCGTTATAAAAAACGGACGGACAGAGAAATTAATTTGGATTTAATATTAATTTTTCGTTACAAAAATGGATATTTAATAATATTATAAATTTGGTCCAAAAAATTAATCGATCATTTGTCCAAATCCGAATTCGAAGCCGAGCGAGCGACGACGACAGCGCGAGGCTTGCTTTCTTCTTAACTCATTAAGAGCTAGAAGAAGAGCAACTGTATATATGCCCATCAAAAGTCTTTTCCAACTCCAATATGGGACAATGTCCGTTGTTCAAGGATGTTTAACATACTTAGATTCCACACATATTTGACATTTTGATTTGTCGCATTCAAACTTAGGCAATACTTCCAAATTAATTATTTTTCGCAAGGTTTTATAATTGACATATCCCAAACGTATATGCCATAATTTATTTGACTCAAGTAAGTAAGAAGAAGCTGAAGTTTTATTATTCTCAACTACCATTACATTCAGTTTCAAAAAGCCCTCAGTGAGGTAACCTTTTCCTACAAACATCTCATTCTTATTTATTACAACCTTATCAGATACAAAAACACACTTAAACCCGTTCTTAACGAGAAGTCCAGCAGAGACTAAGTTCTTCCTAATCTCGGGAACATGAAGAACGTTGTTCAGAGTCACCACATTGCCAGAAGTCATTTTCAGAAATTTCTTGCCACATCCTTCAATTTTGGCCGTTGCAGAATTTCCCATAGAAAGCGTCTCTTCGGGTCCAACGGGAGCATAGGTAGCAAACACTTCTTTAACAACACAAACATGGTGAGTGGCTCCAGAATCAATCCACCACTCCTTAGGATTTCCCACCATGTTGCATTTAGAAAGCATAGCACACAAGTCATCAACATCTTCGTGCTTTTCAACCATGTTTGTTTGACCCTTCTTCTTGTCTTTCTTTGGAGCACGACAATCTGCAGATTTGTGTCCAGCTTTTCCACAGTTGTAGCAATTTTCGTTGAACCGCTTCTTGCTTGGGTTGTTTTTCGGTCTAAAAGCCTTCTTCCTCTTTCTATTGTTTTGAGGAGCATCCTCAATAATGTTTGTTCCCATTATTGTTGAGTTTTCACAACCTTTCTTTTCAGCGGCTTTGTTGTCCTCTTCGATTCTCAACCGAACAATGAGATCTTCAAGCGACATCTCCTTGCGTTTGTGTTTCAAGTAATTTTTGAAGTCCTTCCACAAATGAGGCAACTTCTCAATCATCGCTGCAACTTGGAATACTTCATAGATAATAGGACCTTCAATGAAAATTCTGTTAGTAAAAATAATATAATTATACTTTCAACATCACCATTAATTTGACTTATACCTTCACCAAGGAGATCGTGAATAATCACTTGCAATTCATGGACTTGGGTAATAACAGACTTGCTATCTACCATGTTGTAGTCCAAAAATTTAGCGGCAACGAATTTCTTTAACCCGACATCTTAAGTTTTGTATTTCCTTTCAAGCGCAATCCACAGTTCTTTTGACGTCTCCACATTACTGTAGACGTTATACCGATCGTCCTCCAGTCCGCTTAGAATGTAATTCTTGCATAGAAAATCAGAATGCTTCCACGCCTCAGTCACGAGAAAGCGTTCATTGTTTGGAGTTTCATCGGGAAAAATAGGAACATCTTCCTTAATGAACTTCTGTAGACTAATTAAAGTCGTCAAGTAGAAGAACATCTTTTGCTGCCACCGTCTGGTTCCCGTTGTCATTCGTCATTTCTATAAAAGAACGACACAAACAAACTTTAAAATCACATAGATTTTAATCTCCAATGGAGTAGAAAACCACAAAGGCTCTAGTCTCCAGAACAGTGAGTATAACACAAATACAGAAAATAATTAAGTTCCTTGAGGTTGTTAGTAAACTGTATTTGTAAAATAATTCTGGAAAAGATAAAATAACATCTAAACAGAAATGTAAAAGAAACAGAATTTAATCCGAGCCCACTGAATTCACAGTGTTTCCTTAAGGAACTTAATCTCCTCCTAGTACCCGAGGTTGTGGATTATTTCCTCCCAGGATAGAACGAATTACACACTGGTAGAGGTACTTCAAACCCCAGTGTTTCAACAAACACAATGATCGGTAGCAAATCACACTTACTGTTGCTTTCTTTGTAGTTAAAATAATG